GAAGTGGATCAAAACCTTCCATCAAAGTTACATGATTTTTTTTTTTTTTTTTTTTTTTTTTTTTTTTATACCCGTTCTTGTTTTAGGACAACTTTGATGAATATCTTGATCCAGGTCAAATGTTGACTACTATATATATATATATATATATATATATATATATATATATATATATATATATATATATATATATATATATACATATTTTACACTACACATTAGAGGGGAAATTCCACTTGAAGTATCTTTTGGTATATTATGCCCAAGTAATGGTTCAACACCTTTCAGCCACAAGGAACAGACTAGAGAAAGAGTACCAGTGAAGTACCTACCATTGGCGTTCTTCCCACAGATGAGATGCTCATAGTGTTGCAGGACACCCCATAGCTCGGCATCATTATTGATGACCCCCTCCAGCGCCTCTGCAGTCAGGACTTCCCTCTCCGCCATCAGCACGCGCACGCCCACCTCCTCCACGAGCGCCTCCATGCACGCGCTCAGGCAGATGGCCGCGTACTCGTGGATGCGCACGGCGATCCGAGTGTCTACCATCCAGCGGAAAAACCGTCCGACGGAGAACACAAGCCCACACCGAGCTGACTTCCCCTTGCGCAAGAGCTCTCCAGCGCTCATGTTGTATATGGAAATGGCCTTCACAGCGGCCGAGACGCAGTGATCCGCCAGTGCCCAACTGAGCACCAGGCGGATCGCGCTCTGGACCTCGAACCTGGTGCACCTGCAGTGCATGACACTGAGCCGCTGCGCCTCTCTGGAGATGCGGATGAGCGCTCTGCGCATCAGGGTGGACAGCCTGCGCACAGCCTCCGCGGAGAGACAGGCGCCCTTGCCCGCGCCTTTACGCACGACCCTCCCCACGTCCTCCTCCGTCCACGGGAACTCCTCCAGCTCCGGTAAGCGTGGGCACTTGGAGAAAATGTCCTCTGGATCCTCGGGAAGCACTGTGTTGACTGTATCCCAGCTGTTGTTTCTGCTGTTCATGGATCCGGAGAAGTACCACCAGTTCCCCCGGTGAGGGGTGTTCATGAACGCCTGCGAGTTTGACTTGGACGACGACAGGCTCAAGGACTTACACGAGTCCCCCGCTCCATAACCAGAGTCCAGAGTTAAATCCTCCAGAGTTTTCATGTTTGAGCTGTTTGTTCCTGCCATTTCTGCTGGTTCCCCGACGGTTTTCTTTTTAAAAGGAACCGGTGAGCGGATGAGACTTTCCAGCTGCGCGAAACTCAAGCTGGTTCTTCTTGTTCAGCGTCTCTTTGACATTCATGTAACAGTTTTTTTTATACACCACTGACCATATATATTGTGAAAGTTTAAAATGTCCAAGTTACATGTTCTGAAAAAGAAAAATGTTTGGGGAAACTTGCTCACCTCCTCAAATGACCATTCCCGTAAGAGTAGTGAAGTGCGCAGGATTTCTCTATTACTGTTATCCGGTTCTTGAAAATAATAGTCCGAACTGGACATGAAGTTTAGAGTGGAGATCCATCAATTTAGTCTAAATCGGATGCTCTCGGTAAAATGAATCCTTGCTGATACTTCAGAAACGGGTGATGTTTCTTTCTCACCACACGCCTCTTCTTACTGGAAACTCATGACTGAACGAAAGCAGGAGAGCGCGAGAGAGTGTAGTGGTGTTTGATTCGCGAGCGAAACGATTCATTTGAACTTCTGAACGACTCTTTTGAAACGATTTGGAAGCGTTTGTGAATCTTCATCAAACTCGAATCTACTTTACAAAGGCGACAAACTCTCACATATTACAACCAACGACGTCGTCTATACAGATTAAAATGTTGCATTTAGAGGTTTACAAATAATCTTTAACAGGCTAGGCTACATAATAATAAATTACAAGCGGGCAAACAAGGATATAGTGGATAATGTTATTTTGGCAGTGAAATAAAGTGGAAAAAGTTTACAAAGTGTTATATTGGCGCTTAAGTTCACCCCAAACTAAAAATACGGTCATCATTTACTCACCCTCATGTTCCAAAGAGACAGCTTGATGGCACTGACTTCTTTTTTATGGAAGTCAATGGCTACGACAACTCTGGTTATTCTGTAAATCGTCTTTTGTGTTAAGTGTGTTTTGACCAACTTTTCATTTTTGGTTGAACTACCCTTTAACAGTGACCAATCAAGTTAGTTGCTGGGGAGTCAATCAATCAAAACTCAGAAAAGTGAAGTGAAGTCATTTTGTTCATATTTTTTATTTTTTTTTATTTTTAAGCGTCATGCTATATATATATATATATATATATATATATATATATATATATATATATATATATATATTCCTGTATATTTAACCCATTTACTATTTGCCATCGTTTAGGGTATTTACACCATATGTTCCCGCATATCTTATTCATTGTCTATGCCCACAAATAGCCTAAATTAGGCTATCTAAAGAGAATAGCCTAAATAAAATTGTATTGTATTGAAATCAAAGTATAATTAAAGGGTACTGTTTCATGACGGTGCTAAGGAATTTGCATTAATTGTGTTAGTCTGGGAGATTGCAATGGCCTTCACAAACTCATTATCAATATCAGCATCTCTCATTTATCAGCTTCAGGCTAATTACTGAACAAATAACGCGTTTATTAAGGATTTCGACTAAAGTGACAAATATAATACTTTTTATACTTTCAAAGTGCATCAAAATATTGTTTTCATACATTCATTAACCATAGGCCTATTTTAATATTTATTGAAAGTCCAATAAGCATCATTCTGTATTAATGACGTATGCACATTTCAATGAAGTGTGAGCATACATTTCACACCACCAGGGACGATAACAACATGTTATATAATCGTACTAGCCTATAAGAAAAGCCCTCAACACACTTTGTGATGAGTGACACGCAGAAACTATCATAGGAATCACATCAGAACGTTTTTCTCTAGCTGATGAACAAAGAACAGCCAATCAGAATCATTTAAAGAGGCAGGCGATGTTTCTGATCAGATGGTTATCTCCCGTTGGTGTGTCGTTTGTGTGTGTCTGGACGCTTAGTTATCGTTATTGGTGTTCTGTGAACCCGAACGGGCCTAAATTGTGAAACGTTATTGTTTATTCTTTAAGCTCCATTAAGCTCCTCATAATGAGTCACTGAAAGCACAGTCTCAAAGTCCTCCAGTCAGTGTGACACTTATTTGTCATATGATGATATGAGTACGTAATGTTTACATTGTGCGTAAACCTGCCTCACCCATCTACACTGCATGTAAACTATTTCATTTATCTCTCTTTTCTCAGTCACAATAGATTTTTCACATTTCTCAAAAGCGGACATTTGGCTATGACTGAAACTAAATATAATTTGCTATATATTTATTCCTATTTGCTCCAATAGCAAAAGCTATAGCTCCACAAATATCCAGATCAATCCAAAATGATGTAACATTTGTGGTCGCACTGGCAACAAAGGTGATAATCACTGGTCATTATATAGCTAGATCAGTGGTGCTAATTCGTTTTTTTTTTTTACGTTTTTTTTTTTAATTTACTGTCAAATTATCATATAATACAAAGTTAACGTAGGCCTAATATCTAAATGTATGATTTTTGATGAAACTTGACTTGTGAAGCTGATAACTGTGGTATAGGCCCAGTCAAGAGTCGTGTTGGCGAGATCTGTTGACTATTAACACCCACAGAAAGATAATAAACCAATACTGACCCATAATCTCTCTAAAGTGCTGAATCATTACCTATTTTTGGGTTCATGAATCAGCGTTTGTTCTCCTTGCCTCATGTTCAGTCTTGTTCAGTCAGTCTATGTTGTATTAACTTGAATCTTGTTTAGAAAAAAGAATGCAGTCAAAAATATATGGGCATAGCTTTTTTGACATGATTTCTTAAATGTAGTTTTATTTTCACTGACTGGCTTTGAACATCTGACTTGCATGATGAACTGTAACGCTGTACTTGTGCTCCCTCTAGCGGCTGAAATTACAATAACAACGTAAAGTGCTCTGACTGGGTGTATACTGTATATATTACACATTATTATGTTATTGTTAGCACGATGATCTGCCTGTTGAGAAACCGGAACAAAACAAAATCTCGTTTTTAAAAATCAAATACTGTAATAAAACAAACCTACTCCAGATGCTTCAGCTTTAATCTTTATTTTTCAGAAAAATGAACCCCGAAAATGTTAAAATAAAATGAAAACATTTTGAAAAGTTTCTACACAACAATTTCACAGAAATTACCGTGTAATGCAAATCCCTGTATTAGGCGTAAAGTATTAGTGTCCTGGCTTTTAAATACGCGGCCGGAAATGACATCGAGAGGAGGAGGAGAAAGAAACGTCTCAATTTACTCTTTTAAAAAGGTAAGGACGATTTAAAATCACAAAAGATGGCCAGTGACCACTCGTTATTTCTGATATGAAAAAAAAAACAACAACATAAAAATGTTATGAAGGCTTGTAAACATGAACATTTGTACGATACAGATGTTAAAGGCTATAGCATTGAAACAAACGACACCATTTAACTCGAGCTGCCAGAGTCAGTGTAAAAACAGTTTCACCAACACACTTCTCTCAGACAGGAAGTCGACCGAATTGTTGTTTATTATCACAGAAAACCATTCTGACTCGTTGGCCAGTTTGTAAAAACAAATACAAATCTAATTTAAAGTAATGTACAATGGAAGTCTATTCACTGTTAAAAAAAGTGCATTCAAATTGGTCATTCAACTTAAATTACATTAAACTGACTTAAAACGTGAGTTGAATCTTGTATAACTTAGTTGAAGCAAAAACATGTTTTATAAGGTATTGATCATATTTTCTCTTTACAATGTGGGGCAAGATATTCCAGATGAGTATCTGAAACGGTATTTTTGTGTTATATTAAAATAAAGTCGTATGAAATCGTATTATTTTATTAAAATTGTGGTGTTTCATAGGCTATTAAGACACGTCCAAAGCGACTTACAACATAGGAATACAACAAGTAACGTTAAATCATATTTTTATTGTATTCACCTAAAATAAAGTGTTTGAGCTGTAAAGCTGTCTAAATAAACAACCCTTTAGCAGCCGGATCGGTTCAATGTGGATGAATTATACCGCGGTAAATGAAATGGGTTGATGTAAACAGCACTTTATAGATAGTTATGTTACGTCCTGCTTTTTTTGGTGCGTAACTTACCATCTTTAAATGCTCTATATGGTTCTGATAGCACTTTGCTATTGCTATTGCCTCGCGCCCCATATAGCCTATATTTATTTTACGTCATTTACTGTAAACACACTTTTAACTATTAGGAGTCAAAATGATTTTCTGTGGTAAAATATCCTGGAAAATTTCTTTAAAAATGGACCAAATAATAGTGGAACCAAAAATTCAAGATATATATTTTTTTTGTCCTAAAACATTTTCTATTCACTCATCTCCATAAAACAATGCTACACAATGGCCTACACAATCCAGACAGCTAAACATCAGGACTCCTTCCTCACCCTGTATGGACTGCCATGTTAAACACGTCAAAGAAAGGCACACAACTTCTGAACAACATCCTTTTCCTACCATTATACTCTGTAGAAATCCATACGGCATCAGTTTAGTCTAAAGGTCCGGACTAAAAGGTTTCTGCATCTGGGAAACTATAGCCAATAAAGATTAAACCTATGTTGATTAAACCAATTGGAAAAGGATAAAAGAAGCAGCTCAGACATACAGACAAATACACAGACGGATAATTTCATTTGTCAGCGGGCCCTTCAGGGTCCGCTCGTGTCCGTAAGTTCAGCAGGACTTGAAAAGGGAAAAGCACATGGCCGCCGTGCTTTACAGCAGAAGTCGAAGATCGTTTCCACAGTTCAAGTGTAAGAAGGCGTCACATCTGGACAGGAAGTGACATTTACAGCTATAAAAGCAGACATCTAAGAACCAGCGCACATCTAAACCTTTAGACAATCATTTCAGCATTTAATATCTTAAGTGCAACCCATATTTATGCGTCCCAAAGTGCCTGAGCGGCTAGCTTAGTGTAAAATTCACCCAATCTCTTATAAATCTGCGATGATCTCTCAAGTTTCGCGCACCTAAAAGAACTCCTGACCTAACAGACAGAGATACGTACAAACACACACTCTGAGTCTCTGTCTCGGTCGAGTGTGTTGAGTTCGGACAGCAGCTTGGCACATCATGTGTCCTCGCATGAGACGGGTCCCAGCTGGTTTGGTCCTTTAAGGTCCCGGGACGTTTGTTTGAAGTCTCTCATTGAGGTTCAGTTTTATCCTTTAGGGATTTTACTGGACTGTGAGTTCCACATGCCTCGTTTAGAGTGATAGTAGTGGAAGAAGTTTCTCAGTCGTAACCGCTCGACCTCCAGCCCGTTCTGTAGAACTCTGAGGAAGACAGAGAGATTTCATTTCCTTTTCATCATTTATTTATAATTAAGCTATTTCATTTTAATATTTAATTTAAAAAGAATTTAATTGTATTATGATATAATAACAATGTGTTTAAGTATTATTATTATTAATGACATCCCTGTCAAAGCTCAAAGTTAAACTCAATCAAAATATGAATAACACATATTTTAATATATCATTATTAATATCAATATTATCACTGTATCTTACTGTTTTAAAATATCTCAATTCAACATTTTAATGTTATTTATAATAATGTTTTATTTAACATTATTTTTATCACTAACAGAAATAATATTTGACACTTAAAATATCTAAATTTATTTTCATCATTCAAATTGTATTAATAATACATATTTTTATGTTTATTATTAGTATAATAATATTATTAATAACACTGTCTACATCTCTTGCAATTATAATATTATAATTTTGATAATAATTATATGTATTTAACACATTTATTTACGAATATTGTTATTTATATTATTAAAGCCACAAGGTGGTGCTCTTTTACTTGACCATTTTTTTATAAAGCTGGCACTCTATTTTAATGTGAATTGTTGCATTTATTGAAAAAAATAAAAAAAAATAAATATAAAATAAAAAAATATATATATTAATTCTAATGGAAAAAATAGCCCTTAAATTATATAATTAATGCAAAGTATCATAAAAAAAACTCTGAAAATTCTAAATAATAATCAGAAAATGTTATAAAACAAAAAGATATTTGAACGGTTATCCTGGGGAAAAGTAAAGTTAAATTTTAAGGCTTCGTCCGTTTTTGACCGGGAGGAAGCTAAGTGTAACCCATTTACGAAGAAGCCCAGAAGGTTAAAAATAACAACATCCCTGTCAAAGCTCTCTAAATTGAATTAAATCATAATTGTATTATTTAAAAAAAGAATATTTTATTATTATTATTATTATTATTAGTATTGCTAAAAACACCAATAATACAGTCACTGTCAAAATATCTAAATTCAATATCATAAGTTTATTAATAATACCATAATTTTTTATTCAATGTTATTATTATTAATAGTATTATTAGTGGTAGAATAACAATACAAATAATACGCACAACCGGCACATCAAGGAATTTAACTATTAATTTTGTCCCCGTCCCGTTTTGGAGGAAAACAAACTAGACACCCCATAGACTTCAATACAAAATAACGGCAAAAACCAACGTCCGTTCACAGCTGACGGGCGTAAATAACTTAAGAAATCACTTATATTAAACATGTCAAGTAATTATATGTCCACCCTGCCTGACATAGAGCCTGAAAGATACATACACAAACTTAATTTGGCCAATTTAAAAACATGTCCCGATCAGCGTCAAATTGGTGTAACAACCCCACCCAGTGGCCAGAGGTGTCTTACACGGACATTTATGTGTACCTCATCGAGTCAGGTAAGCCAGTGAATGATTTTATTTCGTTTTTTAAAGTAAAAAAACCTTAATGTATATAATATGAATTGATGATGATGATGATGGCAGGTAGCCTGGGCTAGTTGATAACGGGCATAAAAAAAGTATCTTTCACGCTCTATGGCAGGCAGGGTGGACATATAATTACTTGACATGTTTTATATAAGTGATTTCTTAAGTTAGTTACGCCTGTCGGCTGTGTACGGATGTTGGTTTTTGCCTTTGTTTTGTATTGAAGTCTATGGAGAGTCAAGTTTGTTTCCCCCAAAAATGTGCAACATCACTGTCAAAATCTATTTAAATGCAATATAATTTGAATAACAATATTAATAATAAAATATTTATTTAACATTGTTAATATTTCTTAATATTTAACATTACTACTTCTACTAACAACAACAACTACAAAAAATAATGTCTGTCAAAATCTCTCAATTCAATATCACAATTATAATAATATAAATAAATTAGCCTATTAATATTATAAATAACCACAATATTAATGTGACTGTCAAAATCTTTTATGCAACATGTTATTATTAATTATAATACTATCAATTAAATACTAACATTGTCACTGTCAAAGTCAATATATATATATATATATATATATATATAAATTATATATATATATTTTTTTTTAAATAATATAATCATCATCCTAAATTGTATTGGAAACGAATAAAAGAAGAGTACCTGTCCAGTAGTTCCCAGTCCTCTCCTCCCCAGCGGTCCTTGAACTCCTCCGTGTTCATCCCACCAATCTTGTCGAAATCTGTTTTGTAGATCCCAAACAGGCCGAAGCCGTTCACTTCCCAGTAACCTACAACGACAGAGACACGTGTTTTTCAGACCATTAGGATAGTGTGTGTGGTGTTTCTGCACATGTGTGGTGTTTCTAGATGTGTGTGGTGTTTCTGCACGCATGTGTAGTGTTTCTGCATGTGTGTGTGGTGTTTTTGCACGTGTGTGGGGTGTGTCGCACCATCAGGCTCTCGAGGTGAGCTCCCACAGCCCAGTCGCATGACGATCGGAGCAAACACCAGTTTGCCCTCCACACAGTGTTTCCTGATGTTCTCCAGGATGTTCAGAGGGAAATGAATGTGCAGGTCACACAGAAAAACGATACTGTGCCTGTCCTGTAAACACACACACGGAAAGAGAAAACCTGTAAAATCATCTCGCACTGGTGTCATCTATGAATCACCAGCCATGTTCATACACTTATGAACACAAGGAGGATTCCTCGAAACGCTCTACACCTCATCCGTAAACAGTGAATCACCGCAAAAAAAAAAACGTTCGCGTGTTTGTCATAGCCTTAATCTGCATATTATGAAAGGTTTATCTTCGACAATTTGATTGTCGTAAGATAAAGTCGTAAAGATGATGATGTTTATCTGAACATTCGCATATCCAAAGCATTTTTACGTGAAAACAGAACCTAGATCCGTCAGTTGAGCTACAGGAACGGTTGATTTACCGTTATGCGTTTCACCACAGAAATGAAACACTTCTGAAGATGTGGTCCGTGTAACGCTTCACTATTCATTTTTCATTTTTTTTTCCCTCAGTTACTTCATCAATGGATAATTTACATTTTTCTCTCCTTTTTTTCAATTGAACTTTTGCTAAGTTGTGACTTTGGAAATGATCATATGAATAAATGAAATCTAACCGATTGTCTGCCGTGGGCTGTACCATTAGCAGGGGGTGCCTAACTGTTTTATATTGCGTGGACATCAAGAAGTAGTTTGAGGATAACACAAAGGACACAGGACTTTTTCAGCACAAAGTGGCATCTTTTTTATTGTCCATAGACCTTATGTGGCAGAGAAACAATCTTCAGGATTATGTGTTTGAACTTCTGTTTTTGCGGTAGCTCTGTATGTTTAAAGAGAAACTAAACACTAAAGCAACTTTTTTTAGTTAATGATCTGTAAAAATGGATCTTTATTAATACCAGTCATTGATTCGAGTAACTTTTTTTGACATTTGTTTATAAAGTGTTCTATTTCTACAATATATGGTGTAAAAACGTCTTAGTGCTGCCCTCTTCAGGTTGAACGGTGGCTACTGCAGTTGAATTGTCCTATTGGATGTTCCGCACTTCGCGAGCTACGCCCTTGGCAGTATAAAAACCATCTTGTGTCGTCAAAACCACTGTAGGAGTCAGGAGTTGGAATTGTGAGTATTGAAAACGACCAGGATAGAGTGTTTTAGCATCTATTTCGTCCCCTCTATCTCCGCTGGGGTCTGCCCACTTTTTCAGCATTTTCAGATATTGCCAGTGGGTGGAGTCAGGCTCTGACCAGGGGTTTAGTTACCCTTTAAGGCATCGCTGTTGAAGAGTAATGTGAAGTGGATTTACTTATTGTAGAGTTAATAAAAGTTATCATGAGCACTGTAATGTTTGAAGCGGATATCATAACAAATGTAAGTAGATTTTAAAAAAGATCTTTCCTTCATGCTGTGGAAATACAAACCTGAAGACAGAAACACAACGAGAACAGAGAAATGTAATTGCAGACTCTGGTCATCGGGAGTAGCGTTGTACGGACCACATGTGAACAGCTCTTAGTGTTAAAGGTACGAGTGTGTGATTACCTCTATGGTGTCCACACCGATCTGTAACCCGGCAGAACGTTCAAAGTTTCCTTCCCTCCTCAGATATTCATATCTGTGTCCAAAAAAGTCATTCAGATGGTCAATATAACATTATATTTAAATAATGTATATTAGTGTTTAAAAAAAAATATACATCAGTATATTAGATATACTAATGTATATTAATGTAACATGTTAAAATATAATATTATGCTTTTTTATATTTATAAAATAATTATGTTCAAATTTAGGGATGCACAAGAATGAGTCCGATACGATACTTACATTTTAATACATGGCCGATTTTGTAATTTAAAGGTAGTATTTACATATATAATTAATATATTATTTAAAGGGGTGATGAACTGAGAAATCAAATTTTCATTGAGCTTTTGACATCTAAGAGGTCATTTTAAGAATATAAAGTTTCAGAACTGAAAACGTCCTTGTTAGTCCATTAAAAGCTTTTATTGACACCAGGCTCAGCAAACGACTTGTTTTTCAAAGTGGGGAACTATGACGTCAAAGAGGATAAAACACCACCCCTGCAGAAGAAGATCAACGCCTACTTCAACATGGCCGGTTTCGCCCATACATGTTCAACCCAGAGTTCGTGTGTTGCACAATATTCCTGTCAGATTCAATATAGACGGCACAGCACCGTTCTTTACTCTTAATCGGTCTCCAAATCCAGTCTTGTTGACAAAACAATCCTCAGTGAAATGAAGCGAACAGACGACGATGTTTTACCTCATCAGCTGGAACGTCATTAAAAATAATTTTTATCCATGCAGTCCTATTGGAATCCACAGGAAGCTTATGCAGCGACTGTCTTGCACAACCAGGCACTGCACAATATTCTGTATTGCTCGGTAACGATCATCACGAGGTAAGCATGTACATGTATGATACTTAAGCCTAGTTCACACTACATGATTTTAAAATGTCAGGCTGAACTGTGCAGTTCACACTACATGACTTGCTCTCAGTGAAATCATGAGTGTTCAAGTTGTTTACCTGTTCACACCACACAACACAACGTGATTGATCCACAACAGGAGGTGACTCACTACACGAGTTAACAACGCACTACATAGAGATACAACCACGATCGGATGATAAGAGCATATCATTTGTGACTCAATGAGAGCTGTTTCAGTACTATAGTACGGTCTAAATCCTGAAAATAATCAAACAAATAACGAGTTGACAACAACACGATTCTATCTGGTCTAGAAACCATGTTTTGTCACGAAAAACCACGCAATAAAACGAACCAGAAATGACGCGAAACTGCAGAGAAGAACACAACACGCGAATATGGACGTCAGACAGAAACTAGTGCTGCACACTGTTTGCTCGACGATCTGCTCTGAGAAAAAAAAAATGCAAAAAAGAAAAAGTAAGATTTACCTGGTGTCCTCAACCCATGCGTTGCTATGATTGGCTGTACTCATGACATCACTGAGATTGAGTCGCGCGACTGCTCGAGATATCTAGCAGGCTAGATATTTTTCTGAGCTCGGTGACCTGTCTGCGAGCTGTCTGCGAGCTGTCTTTAGTGCGTTGTTGGCTCTTTCACACTAACGGATTGGCGAGCGTTAATCGTCCGCTAATCGCCCGCGATTTGCACGCGATAACACCCTGACTTGTCGGCGACTCAACGATTTGCAAATCGGGCTTAAATCGGGCTTAAAATCACGTAGTGTGAACTAGGCTTTATGTGTGTAATGCGCGAATCGGTGGGCGGGGCTAAACCTGCCGTGGTGAAGCAGGCGTTGATCATCTTCTGTGGGGGTGGTGTTTTATCCTCTTTGTTGTCATAGTTCCCCACTTTTAAAAACGAGTCGTTTTTAGAGGCTGTGTCAATAAAAGCTTTTATTGGACTAACAAGGACGTTTTCAGTTCTGAAACGTACAGGATATTCTTATAATATGATGACCTCTTAGATGTCAAAAGCTCAAGGAAAATTTGATTTCTCAGTTCATCACCCCTTTAAAGTGTCTGTTAAAGTGTAGTACGAGCTTCTGTTCACTGATTATTCTATTGCTCTGTCGTTATTTCATCTACCACGTTATACATAAATCACGAAACAGTTGATGTTTTTACTTAGAATACATATACTATTCTCCTTTACCCTTAAGTAACATTAGAAATTGGTGCAATGTTTACTGTCTTTGCTATTTAAATATCCAACCGAATAACAAACTTTTTAGTGATGTATATTCCTCTGAACCTGTGGTATCGGTATTTAGTATCGGAGCATTTTAACACGAGTACATGAGTGCAGTATTGGTGCATCCCTAGTGAAGAGAATATATTGGGTTTTCTCAATGAATGTTCTCGTAATAATTATACAATACTTAGCAAATTGCTGTTTGAAATAGTTTTAGACGGAGTTTAGCACAAGACATGTCAATTACCTACATATGCAAACTTCTATATCATGAATATTGTGTATAAGCGTGTGTTTGTGGACCTTGGGACGGAGCTTTCTCTGAGGGCCTGTTCCACATCCATGTCCTCACTCTGGAAGTCCACAATGATGATGTTAAAATTGTTGTCCTTAGTCTCACGGTGCAGGAGCTCCATGTCTGAGATGAACTGCTGAACCCAACGAGCTTGATTCTTCACTATAGGAAACATCACCAAATGCATTGTTATAATATTACATAGTATTTAAACATCTTACATATCAAATCTCTAAAGATTCAAAATCCAAAGATTTGCTTTATTATTTGCGTCACAAAACAAGTCACTGGGCTTGTATTGCAAAAGAAAAAAAACCACTATATTTATTTATTTATTTATTTATTTATTATATTTATTTAACAGGGACAGTGTATGGCATGCAGCGTACCAGAATTAGCTACAAGCTAAATTTCATCTGTAGTCCCTGGGGACCATTTATATGACATAGCTGTCACAAATGTTTACACTTCAGGCAAGGCACAAATATGATCCTGCTGATCTATAAGTTACATTTATTTAAGGCTTTTGAGGTATCGAGTGCTTCATTTTGTACATTATGAACCTGTGGACATTTAAAAATGTAGTCCCAGTTGGCCTGTCAAGCCAAGACCCACATGAGTACTAGTCAAATCACCTTTATTTATATAGCGCTTTTTACAATACAGATTGTATCAAAGCAGCTTCACAGTGATACGTTTGTAGGGTTACGTTGTTATCAATACAGTTCTATTAAACCAACTTTTTTTTTTTCATCTATGAGTGAGTATGACATGTGGATGGAAAAAAGTACACGCACACAGGAGAGAGCAAAGGCACAATTTACTAATTTGTTCTCTAGTTTTAAGTAAATCGAGCAAAAGATATAATAATTAGTTCCTTCATTTTACCAAGTTTGCATGCTTGTTTAGAATGATATGTCACATGTGATCACCAATTTTCATGAAGTTCCGAGTTTTCGTTTTCGTTTTATAGGCTTTTAAAAATATATTCCATATATGCCTGACGGTTTAAGAATTATGAGCCATTTCGTACTTTTGGCCGCTGTAGCGCCCCCGTCAGGCCGATCGGAGCGAGCCTTGGTGACTTTGTAGACGGTGTGAGTACTACTAGCCCTCAAAGTTTCAAGTCTCTACGACTTTCGGTTTGGTCTGCTCGATCACTTTTAATGATGATCCTTGTGAAATTTAACGGGTTTCAACGTTTCGCGCTTGAACCCCTAAAAATCAAAAGCAAGAATGAAAACAAACTTGGTCCCCGTTTTGATTTAATTTATGTTTTGTTTCTTTACCGATACTTTATTTATCGTGACATAAGATACTCCATTAGGTACATATTTTCATAAAAATAGATATCTATTACTAACCTGGTACCACAAAATGCACCATGACATCCTTTTTCCATTGCAGCATCACTGGCTGGCACAGCAGGGGCTTGGCATACACCGTGCCCCACTGAGGGGTGGTGTGGGCCCCACGGGTAGGCGTGCGAGATGCCGGAGCTGGTGGACTGGCGACAGGGGAAGAAGGGGATGATGCTGTGACCCCTTCCACATTCTCCAGACTGTCTTCTACCCGGCCGCGGTGCAACAACATGTAGATGTATTCAGAAAGACGGACCACTTTACGGCCTCTTTCCATCAGCTCCAGTTCAATCAGGTAACGGTTACCGCGAGCAGAGTCACGCCGCTTTTCTACGTTAATGATTCGGAGGAGCGTGTAAATCCTGGAAAAGATGGAGAGAAAAAGATCAACCATTGGTTGTACAATTATTTGAAATGTGTCACCAATGGTGAATCTGGTATTGGTTGGAAAATACAAATATTAAATATGAATAAATAAGGTGCCCCTTTTTAAGAGTAGTTAAAGCAATTATCTGTATTGCTGAATATATATACTGAGAGAGGAAAAAGAAACTGAAAATAAATGTGAGAATAAAACAACAAAAATGCAACTACAAATATAAAATGTGGACACGAAAATATTGCAAATATTTTTCCAAATAAGATCCCAGCACACATTCATACTTGTGTGAATACCGATATTTACCGACACATTGTAAATTAAATTTGTATGAATTGTAAGAGTTTTTATTTTCAAGACTAAAAATCCAAAATTTTCCCATATAACAAAAGAAATACGACTTCATGTTGTGTCAATCACGTTTACACACTGCCTCTGAAACTTTCGTCCGTCATAAAAAATCGGATTGGGTTAAATTTTCTGAGTTTTTCACATTCGTAGCAAGCATTTTGAGAGGTGTTTTGACTCAAAGCCACCGTAGAAGCCGTAGAATGGCGTCTGACAAGTTGATCCACTTGGTCTCACAAAGCACTGTATGACAAACTAAGTGTGGAATGTAAAGACAAAACCACAATAAAAATCTAAAGCAAACTGAGCCACTAACATCCTGAAGTAAACTTTTAATCACTCGGGATAATCCTTGATAAGGAGGTGTAACTCTCATTCCTATATACGCAATCTCAGGATTGGATGGACCCAATATTTCCTCTTTCTTTTTATCTTATTAAGAGAGAGGACAACAAAATCATCCTCCTGCTTGAAGACTTGTATTTTGTATAACGGATTAAATGATACGCATCGAATTCAGTGTGTGACAAAATATTAGGACTCAGAATGCAAGGGTCTAAATTACAGAAATTCTCCATATCCAACATGACATCATGACTTTTGCGTAAACATACACGCCACTTTCGAGTCATTTTGAGCTATCCACGTGTTTGCGTGTATGTCTACGCCATTAACGTCCGCGTCATTCCGCGTGTCTGTACACGACGTCAAATCTCCAGTCATAAATGCCATTAACCCCAGTGACGGTTAAGTTTAGGGATGGGGTTGAGGTAAGTCATAACTTTTTCTTTCCTAGGATGGTGAGGGAAGAGTCATAAATGCCATTAACCCCAGTGACGGTTAGGTTTAGGGACGGGGTTGAGGTAAGTCATATATTTATATAACGTTAAGTTAAGTTATAAGCGTTCATAAACACGCTGAAAAGCAATTATGCGTCTTGATAGCACGCCAAAAATGGAAATACGAATTGGCGTGTCATACACGCGCTACTTCATGAGATCAGTCTGCCATATCGGCAAATAGTTGTAAAGTTAAACAGCAGAAATAGAAACCAGAAACAATAAACAAAGACGTGAATACAAATGTATAATGTCTGAAGTACCGATTTATCTGAAACTAAAATACTGCTATAAGCCTCACCCTCCATTGCGTTCGTTGAGTTTCTCCATGTACTGCGCAAGCACATCCACCACTTCGCTCTCGGACAGCTGCAAGTTTCCAGACACGTTACACCGAAGATCGTTCCAGTCAGAGCGCAATGTCTCAAAGTCCATACTGTTGACGGAAAAGGTCCTCTGCCAATTAATGGCCTCCTCTGCCCACCCAGGCCGAGGCTCCACATCCTCATAACTATACTCAGATAGGCCTCCGTCCTCCTCCGGTTCAGGGTCCGTGTCTGGCCGCTGCTGTTGGGACTCGGTAATCTCGGAAGTGTGCAAGTAGGAAGTGACGTGGAGAGGTTTGGTCGGAAGCGCGTTCTCGGAGGAGTTATTGGATGGAGGGGTGGGAGCAGGAGGAGGTCGAGCAGTTGTGATGGGCCTCAGAGAATGATGGTGTTTTTCCCAGACGCCTCGTATCCTCCGCTCAAAACGGCTCGGGATTGCTGCTCTGTTTGGGGCCGCGGGATTTTCCGCGGGCTTGCTGAAGTTGGGGTTAGCTGGAAAGACCTTGTTCTCCTGCAGAGGAGACCGTGCAAATAACTGGGATGCACGTAGAGGTCCTTTGCCGAGCTTTGGTTTGGCACTGAGGTTCACCACTTTTGTGGTTTTGCCATTCTGATACAGGAAAACGCCAGGGAAGACCTCTCTAGGATGGCGTGAAACAGGACTTTGCTTCTCCCTAGCTGGTCGAGGTCTTGTGACGTAAATTTTGTTGTCCTCCTTCTTGTGTTCCTTGTTGGTGTGGCTGTTTCCAGGATTGTGGCTGTTGTCATGAGCGTGGTTGTTAACTAGGGAAGGGACGGTGTGGGCAGGACTGCCGAGGATTTGCTTGGCTCGGCTGTTGAGAGCTACCAAGGAGGATTTCGGTGGGAATAACAAAGCTGATCGGCTTATTTTGGGAGAACGATCTTCTGACCGACCCTCTTTGAAGTCCTGGCGGTCTTTTTGAATCCAAGTGAGAGAACGACCTTGCACCACACTCTCACTTACTGGTAACCCTACCTTAGCCTGATGGTCTAGAGTGTCTTGTTGTTCTACTGTGTCTTGATGTTGAGCCGCGACCACTTGCCTTGCACTTGTGAAAAAGTGTCTGTGCTCTCTCCTCAAAGCTGGGTTGTCTGACTCTACCTTGTTTATCTTCAGCATTGTGGGAACAGGCTTGTCAGAAGTGGTTACAGTGTGACTTGATTGACTAGGTTGGACAGTCTTCTTTCCAACAAGTTGTGCTTCATCATCAGGATCTGCCCCCTCTTCTTCTTCAAGAAAATCTAAAGCAAAACACCAAAAACACTAATCAGATTTCAGCATGATGATCAAAACATAGATGGAGTAGATTGAGTCCTTCAACAACCCCTAATGGTACGTTCACACCGGACACGAATAGCGCGTCAGGCGCAAGTGATTTCAATGTTAAGTTAATGCAAAGACGCGTCACGCACATACAAAATTCCTGTGGTGCGAATGAGACTTAGAGAGCGCCACGGTAGACGCGAATACGCCTCATTCGCGTGTCAAGTTCGCGCGAATTGACCGTCTGGCGCGTTAAGCGTGAATGATTTTGTTAGTGCTATTTGTGTATTCATGCATTTGATGCAAATTCGCGCTTGCCACCCGAGTTAAAAAATCTGAACTTTGGCGTCAATTCACGCCACGTTAACCAATCAGGAGCCTAGCTGCTTGCTCACGTGGTGAAGGATCTGGATGCTTCAATAAATTTTGTAATATGACTAAATGCGTGGTGTGGTTCTAATGCACAACAAAGCAAATAATTTATCACTTAAAACTTTATTTCAATATACGAGACATGTTCATTTTGCATTGAATGTTATTTATTCCACATCTAGATTATATGAAATATTATTATGATGTAAAGACAACCAACATGTGTGCATAAGTTCATGTCTGGACGTTAGAGAGAAAAAATCACACGGCGACTTTTGGAGGCTGGCTCTATTAGGCTCTATTATGACAGATTATGTGGATGAGGGCGAGAGTGATCCTCGCTCCGATGCGGGACAACAGGTCATCAAACTGTCCGCGGGGCAGGCGGAAGTACCGCTGATAGCGCCCGACATCCAGGCGAAGCTCCTGGAGCGACCAAATGGTGAAACTAGCAAAACGGTTCGCCTCTGAAGGGTCTGGTGGACACAAATACGGCGACGATGATCCCCACGCCGCTGTTCTGCTCTCCAGAGCAAATACACAGAGGTGACTCTCTCGATGAATGCTCGATCAACATAAAAAAAGATGGCCGCCAACGGGTTTCGATTCTGACGCGCGTAAATTTTGCTTCAAACTTTTGTTTTTACACGCGTCAATTTTGCTCTTGACGCACGAATGGATTCAAAGTGTTCAAGCATATAACTAAACGCGGTAGGCGCTAATTTGATTATCTATTCGCGTCCGGTGTGAACGCACAGTAAAGCATCAAAAATACAGACCTCGTCCTGGGTCGACATTTCATTCTGTAACATTAGGCAGTTTTGATTTATATGTTTCTTGTTTGGTGATAACGTTATTTTACATGTGTATAAGAAATGATTCTATCACTTGTTTCTGCTGCTTCTTCACCTGTGTTTTGATCAGGAGATTCTGTACTCTTTCAGAAGATGCGTAATAGCGCCCTCTAACAGTGAAAAAATGGATTGTTGGAAAATTCTGTCAATGACGGTGAAAGAGCTCATAATATTTTTTATTTGTATATAATATTTTGAAAAATGCACAGAACAATAATGTATAAACTTTTATTATTTTTATAGTTTATATCTTAATTATGATAAATTATACACTATTTACCAATGAGTTATGAGCAAATATGATTAATTTATTGGTACGCTGTACCCCTCTAGCAACAATTCACCATCTATTACTATGAGTCTATCTCTATTATTATAACTATATGATGAATAATTCCTATATAATGATATCACTGCTCTGAGTTTTAGTATTATTATAATGTATTGCATTGTGTTTGTGTTTTAGTGTTGTCATAGTCTATTGCATTACTTCTGTATTGTGTGATATTTTCTTTACATTGAGGTAAGTCTGTTATTTTGCGTTAAAGTGGGTGATATTCGTATTATCAGAAGGGATATTTCCAATTAAACCATGAATCTAAGGCCTGGTTTCATAGACAAGGCTGAGATTAAAGAATTAGGCTTTTTAGTTCAATTAGGACTTTTAAGTAGATTTTTGAAAAAGTGCCTTAGAAAAAAAAAAAAACATTATTGGTGTGCATTTGAGAGAAAACAATGACACTGACAGATTTTAAGATATGCCAGTGCAAATTGCTTAACAACTCAAACAGGCTTTAAGCCTTGTCTGTCAATCCGGGGGGAAGTGTTTATTGTTTTGGTCTTGGTATGAATACATTAGTCAGAAATTTGTTTAGCATTTTAATTTGGCTCTTGGAGTGACCAGGCCTTAACCCTTTGAAAATAAACACAACTCCAGCCATTCATTTAATTTCTGGCTCCAACCCAAGGCCATTATCTCCTGATGAATATGTCTGCCATGTTGTAATAAAGCAGCTTGTGACGGAACGGTGCACTAATGAAGTGTTATTCCTCTTCTGGATCACTGATCACAGACACACATACAAACTCACCATCAGGATTAGGGAAGAAGAATGGCCTGTCATCTTCCTCCTCATCCATCTTCATGTATTTATAGAAGCCAAACCTGTTGGAGAAAGAGATGGAGAGGGAAATATCAAGTCCATGAAATAGAGAAATACAGTTTTTAGTTTTAGAGAACTAAATTTATTCATTTATTTTATGTTCACTGCTCCATTTCATTTCAAGAAATCCAAATTAAAGTCAACATTAAAAAAAAAAAAAAAAAAAAAAACCACCAACTTGCTTCGTTGATAAATATCCCTGCTGGTCTTACACTATTATAATGTTATAAATAAAACATAGATTTCTAAATATTTCATATATATTTCGGTATGAATTTTTAGCGAAATGCATTTCTTTGTAACTGAAATCTGCTGATATAACTAAGACCTCGTGGCCTCGTGAAAAAACACTAGTCATTAATATCAAAGCCTAACATCCAATCAAATCCTGATCAAGTTATTTCTAGCTGAATATTTTGTTCCACTTGTCAAGTCAAATGGGTTGAGAATGTCCTATACTATATTAATCCTAAAGTACATTATATATACTCTAAATAATTACAGCTGATCAATCTTTGAATAGAATTAGCATTAATGTCATTACAATCTATACACAAGCTTACTTCTCCAGATAGATGGGCGACTCTCTGTAGAAGCACTTGTTTTCTCTTTCCATGTGTGTGAGGCGGGTGAAGTCATTGGGATAGACAAAAGAAAGATAAACCTGCGGACAAAACACCAGGCATGATACCCTAATAATTAACTTGAAATGTCACTAGTGATCAGTGGAGTATGTCTTTGTTCAGAATAGAATAGGTAATAACAGCATGATGTGTTTGCTGCCTACTATTTTCTTCTTCCTAAATATCATGTGAAAGTAGTATGCAACATTAAACAACACATTCATTATTCTGTATTTCTTGTTTAATTAAGCAAGTGGTATAGAGTTTTCATCTCAGGAATCAAAAACCGTTATTTTAAACGAATTTTGTGTAAAATGTCTAAACTCTGGGCATTCAAATCACAAAATGAGTCAAGAAACAGACCTTTGATATTTCCTCCAGGTTCACTTATCGCAAATGGAAGGTCAAGTGAAGCACACTGCATTGTGTGATATATTTTCAGTCCTCGCAGTGTGTTTTGATTGAACTTTTTTTTGCAGATGCAAATGGTCAATCCATGCAAGAGTACTAATTAAACGTTAAAAATGTCAAATATCTCATAATGTCTACTCTCATATGAAGTACTGTGAAGTCTAATTCAATTTATTGAATCTTTTCATCCATTTAAATGAACTTGTCCGAAAAAACAACAACCAAAAAAACGGCATACGGTAAATTAAATACAGTATAATCAGCATGTTGGTAGTGTATACCATTCCAAACATCCCAGACACTGTGATCAGGTTTTATTGTATGCCTGCAATTACATGTGCCAGCCAAAAGGGGTCAGTAATCACACAGGAAGTTTTAATACACTGCAGAAGTCATTAAGGCAACAGGTGCAAGTAAATTACTAAGCCTTTTCTGCTATAATATTTGGCATGTGTGCGTTAATGTGTGTATTATACTCACAAACTGAAGGCCTTGATAGCGGGCAATAGGGAAGTCTTTGACCACATATGTTGGTGAGTAGAGACAGGAGGGCAATACATTTTCAAGATGAGCAGGGTCAATCATGGGGACTATGAAGAATATTGTGAGAGAAGCAGTTAAATATTACCAGAGGAACATTATCAAATGAATTATTTATCATGCAGAATGCAAATACAAAACACAAAGAGTAGAAAGATAATGTAAGAGGACAAACTCAATAGCAACAGAGAAAGAGAGACAGAAGAATCAAATAAACTGTGAGTAGAAAGGGGATCTGAAGGGAAAGAGAGAGGCTCACTGTTGTAGAAGGTGTCGCGGGGGTCCGGTTGCAGCATATCGGCGCCGTGTTGGCTGTGGGTGCGGGTCTCTGCTGGGACCGGCCCGTGGCTGGCCAGAGTCTGAGGAATGTGATCCACATGGTTCATCTTCAAACTGCTCTCGTCTTTCACAAAGAGAAAAAAAGAGAATGATGAATGGGGATAAAAAGCTATTGTTTATATATAGCACTGACTATACAGAGAGACTGTTAAAGGCAGCATGGAACAAGAGTTTCTATTGACATAAAAGGAGGGGACCAGGACATATCTAGAAACCATAATATCATAGAGAATCAGGGTTGGGCTTTTTGACTTGGGCCAGTAAACAAATACAAAGAGCCGTGGCAACTGTTTAGCAACCCCCGGAAAACCCTATTGATTGTCTATTAATGCTTTAACCACCATCCAGAACACCATAGAAAGCACCAATAATGCCATAGCAAGAACACTGTTCCTAGCAACACCCTACTGCTTAGCAACCCTTAAAAAGTGCAAAAGCCTAACAACCAAGAACACACTACCAACGACCAAGAACACCCTAGCAACCATCTAACAACACCCTTACTGTGTCCCCAGAAAACAAGTGCAAACCAATGCCATAGAAACCACACAGAACACACTAACAACCACTAACAGCAACTGCACTGCAACGCCGTTTCATTTTCAGGCCCCCCAACCAACAAGAACACCCTTGCTACCATCAAAACACAATAATAACTACTTACTCTATCTCTACACCCCCAAAAAACACAGAATATGCCTAACAATGACCTGTAAACCCCACAGACACATTGACAACATCCTAACTCCCTAGCAACTGCATTGCCCATAACACCCTGGCAAATGCGTACATCACTTGCTTAGCAATCCCCTGAAAAAAACAAAAAAACAATAGCAATAGCAACTACCCAGAACTCCCTAGCAACATTCAGACAATGTTCAGACAACCACCCCAAACCCTATACGGAACTGCCTAACAATGCCCTAGCAACCACCCAGAACACATATAAAGCACCCATAATAACCCAACAACCAACAACAACCTAAAACGACCTACTAAGTGCCTAGCAACACCCTACAGCTTAGAAACTCCTAGAAAACTGCAAATGACTAACAATCTAGCAACCACCAAAAATACCCTAGCAACCATCTAACAACACCCTTACTGCATAGGCAACCCCAGAAAAAAGCAAGTGCATAAAAATGCCATAGAAACCACCCAGAACACCCTGACAAGTGCTTTGCAACACTGTAATGCGTAGCAGCTCCCAAAAAAACTCCCCAACCACCAAGAACACCCTAGCAACTGTCTAACAATACAATAATACCCCCCTCCCAAAAAAAACAAACAAACAAAAAACCCAGAGCAAGTGCCTAAAATGCCCTGCAACACAGAACACAGAGACCACCTAACACCCTGGCAAATGCGTACACCGTTTGCATTGCCAGAGCAACTACCCAGAACACTCAAGCACCATTCTAACAACACCCTAGCAACTACCCAGGACACACTGCAAACTGCCTATCAATTCCCTAGAAGCCACCCAACAACACTTTAATAATCACTTAGCAATGTCCAGACAACCTCCCAAAACACTACAGGAACTGCCTAACAACACCCTAGCAACTGCCTAACAATGCCTTAGCAACCACCCAGAATTCACAAGAAACCACCAAATAACCATCCAGAACAACTGGCAACTGCTTATTAACACATTATTAACTATGCAGAACACATTAACAAGCGCTTAGCAATGTCCATGCAACCACCCTGTAGGAACTGCATATCAGCACTCTATCAACTGCATAACAATGCCCTAGCAACCACATAAACCTCTCTCAAGAACACACCTAACAACCCCCTGGCAACTGCTTTTCACCCTGTGTAGTAAACACCTTGGCAACCATCCAGGAAACCTTTGACAAATTTACCTATGCCAATATGCAGCCTGTTAAACTCAGTGATAATGCCTGGCTAATATGTGAGTCACTCCACATCATCAGAGACAACACAGCGTCCAGGTGACAAATGATGGTGCCACCCTTCAAAAGATGAAGACCCCTCCACACACATGAGACAGGCTTTGATGTGCGCTTGAAACGCAAGAGAGAGCAGAGGTGGCTGTTGTCACACACTCCGCTCTTTAATGTGTGTGAGATGAACACTGTGAAGTGCTTAAGCTCTGTGTTTCGTTCAAAGGGAGTTCACATAAAGGTCAAAGAAACCAGTAGCTGAATCCAAACAAGAATCAAACATACTCAAGTATTTAGTATTACAAAGCCACTAATGTAGTGAAACTTAAAAAAAAACAAGAACTTTCCATTCAGGCCCTAGGCTATTTAGCACCACAGCACAACTGGGTGTTCAAAATATACATTTCTCACACATGCAAATGAGGCATATAGCCAGCGGTGGCATGCTCTATTTTTCTAGAATATTTTAGTTGCTCTTTTTCTTACGTCAAAAGGTCTCCTGGGTCTTACACCCTTTGGTTGTCAATCCCAATCCACCCCCATCAGACAAACTATGAATGAGTTTCTTCATTATGTTGCGTAAAATAAGCCTTGTACAATGTACAATGCAATCACATTTCTAAAGGGAACTCGTTTCATAGTATTTGACACTTGATGCAAGAAAGCTCTTGTCAGGACTCAATTTTTCACACAAGGCATTCAAGCATAACTCTGAGTCTTTAAGGAGAACTGATGGCTTTCACCAGCCCTGTTGCCTAGAGACACGTTTACCACAACCCTCCACTTCCATCAGCTCTGAAGAACGAAATGTGCCAAAAGAAAAGAACCTGTTACATGAACAGTTTACATGAGTTTTAACAACCAAGAGGAACGTTTTTGTGCTAACAAGCTTTCCTTTAAGCACCCTTCCTTTATCCTAAAATCCTAAATTCCGTAGGATAAATAAAAAATGGACACGAATGAAAATTTCTATTTAGGGCCAGATTTACTAAACAGGTCAAATTAGCATGAGAACACAATCAAAGCACAGATGGGAGAGAAAAGTCTTGCTGGTAATCTACTGAGTGCCAAAAACAAAACAAAAAAACAAACACCGACGCAGATCATTTCCATTATGACCAACGCAAATTAGCCTAGCAGAGGCGATAATCAAGTGCGGCTAATCTACTAACAAAACCGGCACACGTTAAAATAACGTGGCTTGGCAAACGATATGTTCGGATAACATCTTCCCTTGGCATTCCACATTAGGGTTCGTTTATAGCCTGGTTAAAACCAGACCATTCTTAGTTGTAACTGAGTTATGGTCTGGCAAAGCGTCATAGACAATAATTTCCAGAGGGGTGTCACCAACGGACGTCGCGGATAGACCTAAAACCAATCAGAGCGATGAAGGAGACAACGTATGCAGAGCGGCGGAGAAATATCTCCAAGTGTTGTTCTTTGCTCGGTTTTTAACAAAAAAGAAACGTTTAAATCGCTTAAAGCGGACGCGATAGCTGATTCGAACGAGTGATGTTCGATGGCGGCATCCATCTTTGTAATGTAGGCAACAAAATCTGCTTCAAAATCCCAGCGGTATCATCATCGTGTAAAGCCCGCCCCAACGTTTCTGATTGGTGCCGAGATTTCGACGTATTGGAAATGGGCTTGAATGAGCTCTTTGCTAGACTAACTTTCAGAGCAAATCTAAATTTGCCGGAAGTTGTCTGGGTTTTCCCAGGCTAGTTTGTTTACACAACAATGTACTAAATACAGAAGCCTTTTTCCTTTGCGTTTTCACGTACAGACGACAAAGTTGTCAAAATGATCCCCGTTCACACGCATCCGCGAAAACGACAAAAAAACACTGTATTATTCATGCCAGGCCAGTAGGTGGCGATGTTACATTGAAAAGAAAATTAAAGCGTACACGAACTCGACAATCGACTACTGTGGACTTCGACCGAAAACAGAAAGTAAATACAGGTATGTGAGCTGGCTGAATTAACATCATTTTTATTAATATCTTTTACATCTACTGCAGTCAGATTGACCATGGTCACTCTTAATAACACCACTCACATGACTGTGCACTTGTAATGACAAAGCTAGGATGTTAAGAGGCTAAAAGCAGGTTTAGAACTTGCCTCATTGAACTCAACAGAGTGTGAATTTTAAAAAGAGGATAACAAGGTGTAGGCAATACCGATTTTTGTCGTTTTTGTCTGTACTGACAGCATTCCAAATGTACAATAAAATGAACTCAATGTTAAAATTGACGGAGTTCTCCTATAAGCTGTTGGTAAATCAGGCCCATAGAATTTAAAACAAATTAATATGGTCATTTTATTAAGTACTACTTAAGTCAACTGGGCAGGGATAGGTTTAGTTACATTTTTAATTATACTTTATGTAGAAATTATACTAATATTAATGTACTAGAAGTAAACTTGAAAGATCAATACTACTCAGTTTCGAGTCGTGGCCACATTAACACTTCTGGTGTGTGTGCATTATTTGTCTAATAAATTCAACGACCCGTCTTCAATTATTCCTTCCTTGAATGTGGGTAAGTTTCATAAAAAAGCAACTTTTTAAAATCCAGATGGGATTTAGAAGGATGATCAAAACCCAAATGGAGATCGAGTCCATCAACATCCCCAAAGCTTCACAGTCGTTTCCTCTTCCTGGGTCGACATGTCAGTTGGTAACAGTCAGATTTGAAATTAAATGCGGTTTAATGTTTAATGATTGTGTTAATTTATATTTTCGTAAGCAATCTTCTATCACTTGTTTCTGCTTCTTCTTCACATGTGTTTTGATCCGGAGAGGAGATAACAGCGCCCCCTACCGTATAACAGTGAAAACACCGTCAGTGAGTAAAGAAAGAGTAAAGAAGATTTGAAGTAAATTCCTATGTACTCTACCAGCGGACTAGCCTGCAGAAAAATTCAGAGACTCAGAATTAAAACATATCTGTTTTCTTTATAAATCTATATTTTTAAACAATGTAAGCTTATTAATGTAATACTATGTGAAAAAAAGTTTTTAATAGGCTACTCAATCAAAAGAGTAAACTCAAATACTACAAGCCAAGTACACTTAGAATACTTAATAATAAGATATACAACATATTGAGTACAAGTATAGGCCAAATATACTTAGACTTTTTAGTCAGTATAAGTCAAGTGTACTTAAGTGCAATTTTAAGTATTTTTCTGAGAAGTACATAAAAAGTAGACAGAAAATTTACTTTCTTATTTTTAGTTTAAAAGAAGTATACTAATAGAACACTTGAATAAACTTGTTTTTTTTTAGAGGGGAGGGGAGGTCAGAGAACTTGGTCAAAGTATGGTTAATGGTTAATATTGGTTAATATTATGAAAAATTAGTCCTACTGAACTGGCCATTCGTTTCGCTGCCTTCGGCCCGAGGCACTAGGATAGGAACGCCCTGATTTTGCCAAGTTAGATGCATTCCTGGTCAGCATATTTTGTTGATCCTGGAACAACATTCCTCTCCAAAAATGTACCATATAACTACTTCTAAACCTAATCCTGCCCATAACCTATCCCTAAAATCAGGGAAACGACATGTGAACAACTGTAGATGCATCTAACCCTGGTTCTGTGCCTAAACTTGACAAAAACTGTAAACTTGTCCCTCAAGTCTGATTGGTTGATTGGAATGTTGTTCAAGGATCAACAAAGATGAGGGATCAAGGGACATGTTCGTATCAGGTTCTGAGCTAGGATAGGCTCCAGCATCCCTAAAATCCCACATAGAACACTTGGTTTGAAGAGTAGATGGATGGTTCACATGTCGTTCTCCGACCTTGGTCAGTTGACCTTGGTATTTTGGCAAATCTGAGCAAAGTTTGAGAAATTGCTGGGATGTCTTCTGAAATTCAAGAGGTGACATTATTTAGGTCTTTTTGTTTTTGTAATGAGAGCCACCTAAAAAGTAGGATAATTATGCAATAATCTAAATTTGCAGTACAGTTAATCCTCATATCTTTCTAGGAGAAACAATTTAAATATTTTGGAGATCTCATTTGTACATCTTTTTTTTCCAATTTGAATGTAAAATCTATAAGGCCAGAGTGTGTGTTTAGTGAACTGCTTGAAAACATTTAAGTTCTGAAGACATTTCCAAAAGGCTAGCCTTGAAGGTCAGCATGATCACCATGGCAACGGTATGCTAGCTATGGATGTTAGCGCTACATGCCTGATCTCCCCTTGAGAGCAGGATCCGAGTCTTCGTAACCTTGCTCTTTTTCCTGTCCCCTTTCTCTCTTTGTCACAGCTCTAAGCACATTTTCAATTTTGCTTCACCTCAGGGCACAGCAACCAAAAGTGTTAAAAGCAAATTACATCTACTAAACTCATCAATTTTGTGGTGAACTCAGTAGGACGCTATTAAAAGTCTCTGCACTTACAACTTTAGGGCACGGAAAATAACTTTAAAGTGTAATGCGACTAATACATCTAGTCGTTTTAAGCCCGACGGGACGCACTGTACCTTCCCCTACAAAAACCAGCGGCAGAAGAAGTCACTGTCATCAATCTCAATGACCCTGAAAAAGCCACTTTCTTCCTTCTCGACAACTCACGGAGACACTGTATGTTTCATAAACAGTTCACAGTGAAACTTCTTGAGCACCTCAAAGAAAACCATTAAAGACTAAAGTTCAAACTGTCACATCATCAAACTACTCAAAGCATGACGGTGTAGCGGCAGTTCGGTGGCTCGTCAATGCTGGTTAGTTTTGAAATTGGTGGAGTTTGCAAGAGAGGGAGGTTTACCTGTGTACAAGGAGATGTAGGCGGAGTCAATGACCTCATACTTGAGTCCTGGCAGGAAAGGGCGCCACTGTAATAAAGACAAAGAGGAACAGTTAGAGAGAAAGTACATCAACTCGAGCCTAATTTGGCACAGCCAACAGACCAGTCTTAGACTGCGTGATACATGTTTCACATCTATATAATAAGATCTGACTGAAATCGGCAGTTTTATGGGAATCAAGGGCAAACACTGTAGCGGCATATTTGGTAAACACTGTAGCGGCATATTTTCAGTTGGTAAACATGGTGACGTTTTTTTGTGGGCGGAGCCTAGGTGGAGGCAGAAAGATTCCTCTGGCCGCTTCACTAACGCTAGTTAGCAAGTATTGTTAGCTTGTTTTTTAACAATGACTGGAGAAAATACGATATTATCTTAATGTGTAAGGTCACTCAGTGTCCAGGACCGCGATTATTATTTCCAAAAGTTATTTTTAACGGACGGAACCAGATTGGCCGACCCGTAGCCGCCTACACGCTCACTCAATGCATGGGCAATCTGACAGGATTAACGTACATTACCTCGGTTGAGTGGCCTGACTTCTACACCTACCATATAGAGAAACAGATCGTAAAGAGAAACTGAGGGCATATAAATCTTTAGATGCCTATAGGTCCTGTACAAGACTTGTGTGTATGATCCGCAGTTCTGCCGAGCCAGCGACGAGACCACGACAATGTAAAGAGTGACATTACAGTGCGATTTTAATGATGTGAATATTTTCTAGAAATAAAAATTCCAGATACAGCATATTCATTTTTCATCAATTCTTGCACCAAACAACACAACAAGATGACATTTAATAATAGTAACAATAATTTAAGCTCCTTATTATGTAGCCGAATCTGTGCTGGTTTGTATTGGCCGCCTCCAGTTTTCACTTTGTTTTGCCTCCAGCTAGCGCCGTGACGTAACTGTGATGTAAGCACAAAAGGGGTCTATACTGCCCACATTCATTTAGAACTACAAACCATGGCGGATGCATGAATCCGTCAGTTGCAGGTTAACAAACACTGTTGATTAACACTCAAGATATGTATATCATTTTTAAAATGTCTCAAAAATGGTCTTAAAGACCAGTTTTACACATTTCTGGTATTAACGTTTTTTTTTTTTTAATTTTTTTTTTTACGCAATTCGGTGATGACGTCATGTTGGGGAGAAGCGGAGGAAAGGGTACCTCAGCCTAGTATTAGAACTAAGGCGACTGACTGAGATAAGGAAGAGTTGGCACGAAGAGCCAACATGCATGATGGCCCGCAGCCGTATAATTTTGAACCTGCTAGACGTGAGAGGGCAAATGAAGAATCGCCAAGAACTGATGGCCGTCAAAGCCAGTTAAATGCATGGTCCGAGGAGAATGAGTGGAGAGTTGGTGAAGTGTTCTGGTGAGTTGCTATCATTTAGCAACGCAACAATGAGCACTGGAGCTAGTCTATGAGCTATGGCAAGCCGTTTTAACTTACGAACAGCAGTGCACAATAACAACACATATATTTTTTACGGTCATTGAATAGCACAGAGTGAAAAATCAGCATTTTCTTTATATCTAGTGGCAGTAACGTTACATAATCATGACATTAGTTCAGATAAGTACCCTTTAAGTGATAAGTAACCTTTGTCATAGTGTCGTAGAACTGGTAAAGTTTGTCTTTGTCATCTAGAAAGCATCATGCTAGCTATTAGGGGTGGGATTATACATGTATTCGTATTGTGTATGTGGTTGCTAACGTTAGCTATATCTGCTAACGTTATGCTGTCTGCCTATCTCTCTCTATACTTGTCTATCTAGTCTGGCTATATATCTAGTCTATCAATCTATATATCTATCTCTCTATATCTATGTATTTATCTATAATCGGCGCTATCTGAATACTCTCGTCTACTCGTCGCTCTCAACAAGGCGGGCTTTGGAAATTCTCTCCCCAAGGTGACGTAATGCAATGCATTGTGGGGGAAAGGAGAATCGTTGCAAACCGCTTTAAGATAGTACCTACTTTTTCGTATTATATTCCGTTTTGTGATACCCAACAACATAAAATACAATGGGTAACAGTTTAAATGTTTATTACCAACAAGCGAATTGCACAAATTCGTTTTAAAAAATTAACCCTGCAACACGGCCTTTCAGTAGATTTAGGGGGTTGATTGATTCACAATCAGTATCTAACCTGACGAAAATATGTTTATTCAATGTTATCCACATTATATTTCATCTGTAACAGTATTGTGAACTTTTGTACAAATACGTTAAAGGTGAGGAGAGCCTCTGCATGAAATAGTAACGACAAGCAGATCATCATTCTATATTTATCTCAGAAATGGTAGGAAATTCAATTGAATGTGAACGTTTTTAACTGTGACAAAAATGATTGACAGGGAAGCTATAACAGTGAAAGGAAACCAAAGCGACAGAGCTGTCCATTAAAGAAATAATGTGTCCCAAAGCTCTTCTGCTACACACTCAAAAGTATGTTATTTTTCTTCACAAAAGAGTACATACTTTAAGTCTAAGTAAAACAGTATACTGTGCCCAGTATATGTATTATACACTATTGCCCAATTGGGATGCATCATCAGGGTTTTGTAGGAGAAACGTGAGACAATGTGTTCCCATCTTCAGGCAGAACAATTACTTTTGTTGAATTGTACTATTTGTCTGAGCAAAAACAGCTATTTAGCTTACCAGGCTTAGATTCCATGTGTGAACAATTTGAAATCATGCTATACTAAACTATGCTCTAATAAAAATGTTACTGGTACTGTTAATTGTCATGCCCAGAAACATTCGTCCTTTTGTCCAGAGCAGACTTCCGAGCCATCACGATTTCGATCTAGAGCTCTCAGCCCGCCCATCTCAGACTGACTACAGGAGCGAAATGAAATAAGCAGAAGTAGGAAGTCTGACGTAGTCAGACTAGCAAAGTGGACCTGACAGTCAAAAGTCTTTATGTTGGCAGTCAAAAGTCTGGCAACAAAAGACTAAAGAGAAACTGCAATAACACACAAAGTTTCTGATGAAAGTATTGCACAAAGTGACGAAATCACCTCTCGACAAAGGACGTCGACAAAGTTAAGGCCATCAAATCATCAAACCTGTTAGTGCCGGCATGTCAATGGCTGATCAAAGTGTTGAAATGGTGTAGACAGGAAAAGTATAGTGATTGAGTCCAATCCAGAAGCCAAGGCAAGTTTCCGACCTCACTGAAAGTGGAAATGTCGCACAACCGACACAATACTGTCACTTTGCTGAGCCTAGTTAAAATATAAACTCTGATTACGATGGAAGAGATGTCATTTTATTCCATCAAACTGTTTAGGACATGACATAAAAGTCGAACTTCACGGGTGGTCCACGTGAAATCGAACTTCAAAATGGTCCATGTGGAATCATGCGTGGTCTATTGAATGGAAGTAAAGAAGATGGAGGGAAATCTGCTGTTTATTTATCTACATTTCAAGCAAGGTCACCCTCACTAAACAGATTCACCTATCCAATCACAACACAACACACAGCAGGAAATGAGATGCGCACACACACATCAACAGTAGCTTCTTCAGCCGCACACTTACAAACCATCCGACAAGCTACAATTCTTTTAATGACGTTGTGCAATTACCATGTCACTTCTGCTTATGCTTGCAGTAATTAGGGGAGACAGGCAATTTTCCAAACACACACACACACACGCACGCACTCTCAACATTATTGAGGAAGGACCAGTAAAGATGGATACATATGGGTAAATTTCATGTCATATTTCTTTCACAATTTTTTTTGACAACAATTAAGCACATTTTACCCTCAAAATCTCATTCTAATTTTCATTATAATTTACTTATTTACATTTTTATGTCAACATAAATTAAAATACACTCAATAAATATTACCATAATAATAAGCACACATTAAAGGCACAATCTGTACTCTTTCACCGCCTATTCAAGACAAAGGCGCTTCCACTTCTTCCGGTCAAGCGTATGTGGGGAAACTCAGCCCTGTTTTATCATTTACATTTGTCTGCTGAAAATAATGTTATATCGTTACTCTGTGCGTTTGCTCGGCGGCTGCTATGAGACACTTGTTGCACACTGCAGTGAGCTAGATCAATATAAAAATATCATATTAATAAATGCTGGATGGCTTGTGTTGCTAAATGGCCAGCAAAATTTTTTTAAAACATATTGTATGAAGGAGAAATTGAAAATAAAGCTGAATCTTGTTATGTTAGCCTCATGACCTGAGGCATGGTAAAAACATGTTACTCGCGTAAAATCAAGAAAACAAGCGATTCAAACAATAAGACTAAAAGTGTTGAGCTGCATAAGAATGATTAATTTTCTGTCTATAAATGTATCCAAACAGTTCCCTTTACTAATAAAACACATAAAATATTAAAGCGTCTTTGGTGTTTCCATGGTTTCTACTAAATAAAACCCGTAAAACAACGGTAACGCAGGTATGATGTCACTAGTAGGCAAGGTTATAATCGTTAACGAAAACTAACGAAAAAAACACGCAGTGTATTTGTTCAACTGCATTTCATTTCCCTGTAACGCTCTCCCTCCGTCTCTTTCACATGCACGCGCACACACACCTACACACACAGCCCCTCCCCCTCCATGCAGTACACACGCGTCTCCGTGAAAACGAGCCAACGAGGGTTCGATCAATGTTGAAAGCAAGTTCGTGAAAGGTTGGTATCTCATCATGAACACCTTTACACAATCACACATTAAAAGGTGGTATATTATAAATTCTTAATACAATTCTGTCAGTGTGTTAATGTCGACCCGAGAAGCGATTGAGCCTTCGTTAGAAAAAGTTAACTGACTTAGTCGCAATTTTGAGGTAAAATGCTGCTGGGTTGTCGATGTCAAAACTCTATAAGCTGTGATTCAAATATTAAATAATGTTATGTCATTATTCTACTTGGTAACACTGTGAAGTCAAACATGTAATTTATTATTACTTGAGAAATTACTGAAGAGAATTCTCTTTCGGTTTCGCCGAATTGACGGTCATAGAT